AATAATATTTTTTGAGGTAACACCATATTGTTTTCCATAGTGGCTGCACCAGTCTGCATTCCCACCAGCAGTGTACTAGAGTCCCCTTTTCTCCACACCCTCGCCAACACTTGTTTGATGATTTGTTGATGACGGCCATTCTGACAGGTGTGAGATGATACCTCATTGTTGTTTTAATTTGCTGATGATTAGTGATGTTAAGCATTTCTTCATATGTCTCTTAGCCATTTGTACGTCCTGTTTGGAGAGGTGTCGCTTTAGTTCCTCTGCCCATTTTTTAATTGGGTTCTTTGTCTTCCTTTTGTTGAGTTGTATGAGTACTCTATATATTTTGCAAATTAACCCCTTATCTGATGTTCTTTGGCAGTTATGTTCTTCCATACAGTGGGTTGCCTTTCCATTTTGATGGTTGTTTCTTTTTCTATGCAGAAGCTTTTTAGTTTGATGTAGTCCCACGTGTTCATTTTCTCCTTTGTTTCTGTTGCCTTAGGTGATGTATCAGTGAAAATTCTGCTGCATATGATGTCCGAAATTTTGTTGCCTACATTTTCTTCTAGAATTTTTATAGATTCACAAGTCACATTTAAGTGTGACCATTTTGAGTTTATTTTTGTGTATGGTGTAAAATTGAACTTCCATTTGACCCAGTGATCCCACTTCTAGGAATATACCCTAAGAAGCCTGAAATACCAATCAGAAAGAATATTTGTACCCCCATGTTCATAGCAGCACTATTTACAATAGCTAAGATATGGAAACAGCCCAAGTGTCCATCAGTAGACAAATGGATGAAAAAGCAGTGGTACATATACACAATGGAGTACTATGCAACTGTAAGAAAGAAAGGTTTCTTATCCTTTGAGACGACATGGAGGGACCTGGAAAGTATTATCCCAAGTGAAACAAGCCAAGCAGAGAAAGACAAATATCACATGATATCACTTATATATGGAATATAATGAACATAACAGTCTGAGGAATAGGGTAGACCTAGAAACATGGAAGTAGGGTACAGACTGACAACCCTCAGAAGAGGAGGTGGTGAGGGGTGGGAAGAGATAAACCACAGAACTCATATGCATGTATGCATAACCAATAGACATGGACAACAAAGCTGGGGACAGGGCGGGGGGGATGGGGAGGAGGGTGTCAATAGGGTAAAAAATAAATAAATAAATAAAGTTGCAAAAAAAAAGAATAAATAATAATAGACTTTAGAAACTATTGAGGACTGAACACGCATGTCAATACTGCATATCAAACTAGTAGACTTGAGCTAATTATATTGACAGAGACATTTATGGTCTTCAGGTTTATTACATACTGAAAGAAAAAAGATGGAAAATTATTGAGATAAACATCCAACTTCAAAAGTTAGGAACAGAAAACAGAATACCCCTGCCCCAAAACAGTAGGAAGGAAATAATTAAAAATAAGCGTAGAAATTAATGAAATAGAAAATAAAATGTTAGATGATCAAGGTAGCCCAAATTAGAGTATTTAATATGGCATGCCTCTGCCGAGTTCATCAAGAAAAAGAGTAAAAATAAAGAATATTAGGATGAAAAAGAAGATATAATCACAAATGCTATAGATATCAAAGATAAATTTATTTTATGAAACTTACTTTCTTTCTTTTTTTTTTTTTTTTTATCCTCACCCGAGGATATTTTTCCATTTTTTGTACAGATAGAGTGGGAGGGAGAGAGAGGAAGGGAGAGAGAGAGAGAAACATCGACGTGAAAGGGACACATCGAGTGGCTGCCACCCGCACGACCAACCAGGGCCGGGGACAAACTGCAACCGAAGTACGTGCCCTTAGTGGGAACCGAACCCGGGTCTCTCCGGACCGCAGGCCGATGCTCTAACCGCTGAGCAAAACCGGCCAGGGCTATTTTATGAAACTTTCTTGCTAATAAAGGTAAAAATTTAGATGAAATGAAAAAATTCTTAGGAGGAGAAACTTTTCAAAATGGACCCATAATTAGAAACATGAATATTCCTATAAACAACAAAGGTGGATGGAGTAAATAATGGTCTTTGGCAAGAAAATACCAACTCTAGATGGTTTTGCTGGTGATTTGTAATGAACATTAATGGGAAAATGTGTCAACTTTATAAAAATAATTTCAAAACATTAAAAGACGGAATACTTCCTACTTTACTTGGAAGGCTAAGTTAATACTAAAACCTGACCAAGACAGATTAAGATAAGAAAATTGCAAACCAGTCTTACCCATAAACATAGATAAAAGTTTCTGACAAAATACTAGCAATCTGAACCCATTGAAATATAAAAAATATAACACAGTATGACTAAGTGGAGTTTTTTATGGTAATGCAAGAAGAGGTTAATATTTTAAAAATACATTGACTAATTCGTTATAATAACATATTAAATGTGGAAAATGTGATAAATAATAAGATTCAGAAAAATGTTTGATAATATTAAACTTTTCTTAATGATTAAAACAAAAAAACAAAAAGCCTGCCTGGCCAGTGTGGCTCACTGGTTGAGCATCAACCCATGTGCCAAGAGGTCGCCGGTTCAACTTCTGGTAAGGGCACATGCCCAGGTTGTGGGCCAAACCCCCAAGGGGGGACATGCAGGAGGTGGCCATCGATGTTCTCTCTCATTGGGGTTTCTATATCTCTCTCTTTCTCTTTCTCTCAAAACAAATAAAGAAAAAAACAAACAAACAAAAACCTTTTGTCCTAGCCAGGTGTGTCTCAGTTGGTTGGAGCATTGTCCCATAAACCAAAAGGTTGTGGGTTTGATTCTCTGTCAGAGCACATACCTAGGTTGTGGATTTGATTCCCAGTTGGGCTCATAGAGGAAGTAGCCGATCAATGTTTCTCTCATACATTGATGTTTCTCTCTCTCTCTTTCTCTCTCTTGCTCCCTTCTTCCCTTCTCCTTTCTTCTCTCTCTATAATCAACAAAAATATCCTCTGGTAAGGATTATAAAAACAAAACAAAACAAAAACACTCTTGCCGAAGTTGTAATAAAAGGGAAATTTCTGAAACCTAAGAGTGCTTGTAAAAAGCTAAAACAAACATGATAGTTAATGTGCAACATTGACATTCTTCCCTTTAAGACCAGGAACAAGACAAGGGAGTTGTCATTTCCACCAGCCTTTCTCTTTGCCTGCCGTGTGGTGGGGGCTTCCTCAGAGCACAGGTTGGAGGATGACTGGACTTCTAGCACGGAGGCTGGCTGACAGCAGGAGGAAGCTGAAGCTACCATTCCTTCTCCAGGCCAGGGCCAGAACAGGTGTGCTTGACACTTCTGATGCGCTCAGCTGGTACAAGCAGGTCGGAGTCCAGCCAGGTGAAGCAGAGGCTAGAAGGACTTCCCCTCTGCTTGTGAGGAGCAGCATGTGTGTACAGAAAGGAAGTAATGGGTGGCAGTTATCTTTGGAGATCATCTACCATCACTCCTATCAGACTGGCAAACATGCAGAATGTTAGTGACGTAAGATATTGGCAAAGCCTTGACCAGTTTGGCTCAGTGGTTAGAGTGTCGGCCCACAGACCAATGAGTCACGGGTTTGATTCTGGTCAAGGCACATAACTCGGTTACAGTTCGTCCCAGCCCTGGTCGGAGTTGTGCGGGAAGCAACCAATCGATGTGTCTCTCTCACATCGATGTTTCTCTCTCTCTCCCTCTCTCCCTCCCATTCTAACTGAAGATAAATGGAAAAATATCCTCGAGTGAGGATTAAGAAAAAAAGATATTGGCAAAGATGTGGTGTGATTAACACACATAGCGCTTGTGACTATGAACATCAACATAGCTGCTTTGGAAAACATTTTGGTTATCTAGAGAAATTGAAGGGTGCACACTATGTGGTCCAGCAGTTTAACTCTTAGATTGTTTTTGCTATGTGGACCAGGTGATATGTAAAAGAATGCCCAGAATAGCACTTTTTGTAATAGCAAAAAACCTGGAAACAAACCAAAATGTCCATCAGCAGCAGAATGGACAAATAAATTGTGGTGAAGTCTTACAATGGAATACTGTCCTCCAAGGAAAATGAATAAATTGCATGTACAATAACATGATTTAATCTCCAGGACATAAGATTGAGTAGAAAAAAGCATAATGTTAAAAAAAAGAAAACAAAAACAACACACAGTACAAAGTTAAAAACCTACATAGTATACAAAACTAAATGTTGTATCATTTACAGATGCAAAAATATGTGGTAAACCTAAAAGACAAGCAAGAAAATGACAAGCACAGAATTTAGAGTGGTAATTATTTCTGAAGGGGGGAAAGAAGGAGATAGAAATGGGTTAGAACACAGATAATTCTAATAATCTCTTTTGGTGAATTAAATGATGGATATTTCTTGTATTATTTTTTCTTATACTTTATATACATTTTATGTTCTTTTGTGTTTTCTCAGTATTTAATATAAGCCAAAAAATAAAAATAAAAAACCCCAAACCCAATACTTACTTTTGGGGGGGTAAGAATTCTCTTTTGTCAAATAATGCCCTTGAATGATCATTTTCACTGTGGAGTAGTAGAGAAGGTCCTGGTTATGTCTTGGGTTAAGTACCTTTATTAGCTCCCTGTTGACTGTTGTAAGGATTTTGGTGAATAGGCTTTGTGGTTTCATGGATAAATAGTAGGTTTGGCCAGGAAGCCTTCATTCCCCTGCAAACCTTGGTTCTCAGGGGGGTGGAAGGTGGAAGGCAGTCTGCTGACCTTACCTTTCCTGTTTCCTACACTCTCAGCCACCTTTAGAAAGTGTCTCCCCATCCCCCACCCCCCTACCCCCGATCCCAGAGATGGTGTGAGTCCCAGGGCCATCTTTTTCATCAAACTTATGGCCTGCCTTGTTGGAATAATGATCATCAGCTATTGAAAAATAAGAATAAAAAAGAAATCATAAGTCATTGAAAGAACATACACAAAAGACGTCAGTAGTTCCCAAATACAGAGTAGTACCTGTGGCTTCTAATTTCTTGCAATTCCATTGTTTTACAGATTGATCAGCTGAAGCAAGAACTTTCAAAGAAGGAGTCAGAACTTCTTGCCTTACAAACAAAGCTTGAAACCCTTAGCAATCAAAATTCAGATTGCAAGCAACATATTGAAGTGCTTAAAGAGTCGCTTACTGCCAAAGAACAGAGGGCTGCCATTCTTCAGACTGAGGTGAGGCGCCGTCTCAGGAGTCCACGCAGCAGACATTGTGTTCATAGAAAATGTCCTACCTCTACAGCTTTCTTTAGAAGATTCCTTATCCAAACTCTTGGAGCCAGAGGTATTTTGGATATCAGATATTTGGGGGGATTTTGGAAAGGTAAGACTCGTTGCATGTATCACAGACTATAGAACACTCCCAGTGGGGTTGCTGGGAGTGTTATGCAAACACATGGTTATTTCTGCAAAACAAAAATGTCCCACCCTAAAGTAGCATGAAGACTATGTAAAAGGCCTCCTTTTAGTTCATGTTAGGTTGTGCTGCTAGAGGAGTTTGCTTCACACTTGGGATTTTTTTCCCCTCACTTTTCAGAGCTTTTTGGATTTTGGAACTGCAGATAAATGATTGGATCTGGAATAGTTTTATTGTATCAAAAGTCAGAACGTTATTTGCCTTCCTTTGTTGTGTCGCCATCCTGGCACCTGAGGAGCATCCTTATTTTCAATACTGTTGTGCCCATTGAAGAAAGTTGGTATTGTGGAGTTTCTTAAGGAAATGGTGGTTTATACCTCTTATTCACACTTGGGGAAAAAAAAACAAAACACTAATATATCTTACTATGCTATTTCCCTGCTTCTCTCCATTGGAGTATATCTTTGGGGTTGCTAGGGAATGCAAAACACAAGCTAGTTATTGTGTAAATAAGACAGTCAACAGAAAATCATTTTTATGTGTGGAGAATAGCAGAGGATGTGGTGAATGTTCCTCATTTTTGTGCAGAGGTGGTCTCTGATGTGACCACTTCAGGAGAAGGTGACCTAATTGAGATGCCTGTTCCCTCTGGTGCTCTGAGCTGTGTCTTTGGATGTATACATTTTTGGGTCTGTAGGGAGATTTGGACTTTCCTTATGAGTTAATGGGGCCATTCAGTAGGTCTGTGCCCTCACTGGAGGTGCAGGGCAGTGCTCAGAGGAGAAAGGAAACAGGTTCCAGATTGGATAAGCCTTGGCATGGACCTGTCTCAGCCCCTGTGCACTTGGCATTGGCTAATAGGCAGTTATGTGATTGATTCAAACCAAACGATCATTTTAACTTCAGTAATGTGGATATTCCACATTTAAGAAATATAATTTTTAGTTCTATATAGTTCCATTCTGAATGTGGAAGCATGTATCTTATCTTTTTTAAAGCACAAATTTAAACTGCCGTAAATTTAGAAGGTGGTTTGTATCTCCTTTGAAGAGGAGCAGTGAATAGAACCTACGACTGTTCTATCGAATACTGTAGCCACTAGCCACATGTGTCTATTCAAATTTAAACTATTAAAACTCAGTAAAATTTAAAATGTAGTTCCTTAGTCACACTAGCCACATTTCAAGAATTTAATGGTCAAATGTGGCTTATGACCACTGTATTGGATAACACAACTATAGACTCTTGTCTAGAACAGGGGTTGAAAACTTTGGCTTGTGGGACAAATACCGCCCCTCTGCCTATTTTTGTAAGTGAAGTTTTATCAGAACACAGCCACACTCATTCATATATGTGTTGTCTTTGGCTATAGTCACAGAATTGAGTAGCAAAGGAGATTGTGTGGCCCACAAAGCTGAAAATATTTACTCTTTGACTCTACATGAAAAGTTTGCCAACACATGGCATTGTGATTTTTGGAAATAGTGCCCAGTGGGGATTGGAATGAGTGGCTTGACCTCTTTCTAGCAGCCTTACTCTGAACAGGGCCACAGAGTTTGCTGACCCTTGTTCTAGAGGACAAGTTTTTCTTTACATTGGTTATTCACAGAGCAACTTAAGTTGGCAATAATGCCACCATTACTAATTAAATTGGTGTGAGTGTGTTGTTGTGTGTTGGGTAGGAGCAAATTGGAGAAGCAAAGCAGTCCATTCAGGAGTTGCTCAGATAGGCAGTCAACTTCTTGATTTTTCTCTCCAAAAGAAAGGAATGAGAGAAATCAGCTTTGAAAGGCTTACTTCCTTTCTCCCATTCCCTGGTACTGATGAGCACTGTAGTCCAGCCCACTTCCCTTTTCTCATTCTGCCTGTGTTTTCCCGCTCTTGAATTAATGTAGTCCAAATTAGACCTATGTATGTTTCATGAAAAAGACAGTGGTGACATTATGCTGATAGCTTCCATCCCGCGTTCAATAATTAAAATGACCCAATAAAAAGACGGCGCTTTGAAGTAGAAAAAATTGTTCTCCATGTGCAGAGAAAGTGGGGTGATTTTCTAGTTTTCTGCTTTGAAGTTCAGAGTGTGTGATTAATGATTTTATCAGCTGGAGACATCCGAGAAATTTTCTTTTTGCCTTTTTTCTTCCTTTAAGATATTTGTAAATGAAAATGGAGACAGCTACCCAATGATGTCCATCTCTTAGAGGAAGTGGTTTTGATTAAAATTTGCTCTAATTGTTGGATCCTAGGCAAAGGATTTTCGGCCTACAGGGTAAAATATATTAAAGTGATTTTCCCACCTCTAAAGAGTCTCCCTACCTTAGTGGGTGAATATTCAGTAGACGAGATATGTTATGTTTCGTTATGCCCTACAACAAAAGACCTGAATTGAAACTCATAGGAAAGACAGGGCACTCCTCCTTGAAGAAGGTTACGCATGATAGCTCCTTCCAATCTGATTCCTGAGCCATTCCTTAAAAGCTTTGGCCCAAACAGAAGAGGGCTCTCTGTAGAATTAGAAGAAATTTGCTATAAACTGGTTTTAGCTGCTCCTTTAGAATATGGTGTAAATGACAGCTGTCACTGGCTTAAAAGTTCCTCTCTGCCAGGAAGATTCTTGCTATCAGAGAATCTGCATTTAGGATGTGGCAGGATGAAGACTGGGGCAAGGGGTGGGAGGCAAGTTGTCTGGTTTGCGGCTGTGTGGCTTGGCTCTTGGGTTGGTTTGTTTTAACTTGTATAAATGCCCAGACACTCTTTGACATGTGTGCAGTAAATCAATGGAATAATAATTACGCACACAGAGGGGTACACCACATAGCTCTTAACATAACATTTTACTTTTTAAAATAGCTTCAAAGGACCTCTAGGCCAAGTTTCTTATTTTGCTCCTTTCCTTGACGTTTTTTATGTACCAACTTATCCCCATCCACCAACACATTAATTACATGGCAGTAGAAATAATAAATGAGCTTTCTTTAGCACCTTGATTGTTTTGGGTTTCAACAAATAATCACCAACATATCCAGAGATTAAGAAGAGGCCTAGCTATTTGACTACAGTCTGAAGCAAAATGTTGTCTGAAGAGCAGAGCATGGAGAAGTGGGAGGTGTGTGGACATGCTTTGGCTTCCCCACTGAAGAACCATGACACCAATAAGACTTGAACTTCTCTGAGCCTAGTGTCTTGATCTATAAAGTGGCAGTTATTGTACCAGCCTGACACATCTTTGTGAAAGTGCTTTAATTCTGGTAAAGGGTTTTAGCTACAAATTGTATTGATGATTATCATTGATGTTATTATTATTTTTATTGTATATCAGGGGTACGTGGGGTATACTCTGCCTCACTTCTCTTTCCTCATCCATTCTGTGTGTTCTACCTTTGTGAGTGTCCTTTGAGTTTCCAGTCTCTGTATTTACTGAGCTCAGACTTTTATATTTCAACTGAGTCCCCTTTTTGTGATGATACTGTGAAAGTGCCGTCTAGTTTGTTCTATCCCCAAAGTAAGAGATTTTTTTTTTTTTTTTTTTCTGGTAAGTACACTTTCCCCCAGCCCAGCATGATTTGTGAAGGGCCAGATGTGACAACTCTTTGACATGTTTTTGAAGATGTGTTCTATGACCATGGTACGTAATGCTCTCATCTCATTGCTGTTCCAAATAGGTCAGGGAAGAGTTGCGCTCGTCTAAGGGCAAGCACAGCACCTGTTCACTGTGCTCACGAGGGCAAGGGCAGCACGTGCCGGGTAGGTTAGTAGCAGCTCCATAACAAGGGTCCATAACATTTCTGGTTTTGTTTTTTAAATGAAATCCATGTAGGAGAGAATATCATGCAATTTATAGACTTACTCCCTAGAAAAATTCACCTCAGCACATACACACTCATATTCACATGTAATAATGTATATAATTTCAGGCAGTTTATAGATGCCCTGAAGCATTTCCAAGAATTTCACATTAAAGATTCCTGCCCTATAGATTTCATGCATTTTTTCATTCAACACATAGTTTCTGAATGACTACCCGCCAACATTCTATTGGGTGTATGATATATGATAGAGAACTGATTTATAGTACCATAAACACTCAGTAATTTCTGGTTATTAATAATTTCACTCAAAATCTTAATTATATGCCATCTTCCTTCTGTTGTTTAAAAGTGGGTAAGTAAAAGGAGGAGAGAAAATAAAAAGAAATAAATGTTTAGCTCCTTTGAAAGCTAAAGTATGCAAGCTGTATGAAATATCATTCATATCTCTTATACTGGATGGCTAATATTGCTAAGGTGATTAATCTGGTACTCTCTGTGTTTTGATTAAAGCTTTAGTCTACACTCAAGCAGCTTGGCTCTCTGTGAGAAAGGGGGTACTATTTATGGGGTTATAGACACTGTTGGCTTGGTTATTTCAGGAGTTATCTACTTAGAAATGCTTCAGAAGGCTATACTTCAGAAAGATCTTCCCTTGTCTTGTCTAAATGTGTGAGGTGTGATTTGATAATATTTTATTGAGCATGGTGCTGGATAAGATGGGACCCATAACCTCAGGAGCTGTTGGCCTTGGACTTTTCAATTTAATTGTATTGCCCAAATATCTACCGAGTGTCCTGTGGCTGCCATACTGAGTTCCAGGAACTGCGGCTAAGTATTTTCCATGCAATACTTTATTTTAAACTTGATTTACAACTCGTGAAGTTGATATTGTTGACCCCTTTTTAAGATGAGAAAATAGAGGTTCAGAGAGGATGTGTAAGTTGTTCAAGGTCACACAATGATGAGTGACAGGGCCTCAGTTCCCAGACCCTGGCCTCTTATCCCTACAT